ACCCTGCGCTTCCTGTGGGTGCTGTGCCAGGCCATGGTGGATGGCCTCACCCAGTGGCTGGATGCCTGCACGCAGGAGCACACCGACATGTCCACCGTGCTGCAGCTCGAGAGATATGTCCTGACGCAGCGCCTGGCCAAGGTGACACACGGGGAAGGGGGATGGTGGCGCTTGGCACCGCAGCACTGTGACGGTGCTGACCCTATGTGTGCTGTAGGGTGAAGATGTGCACCGCGGGGTGCTGGATGAGCTCTACCTGCTGCCACCCGAGGAGCCCCAAGAGGAGCCCCAGAATGGCATCGCTTCCAGGCAGGTGCATAGATACACCCCTGGGTGCCCACCTACCCGCAGTGGGGACCGCTGAGGAGGGTGCTCACCTGTCCCTGCGCTGTTCACAGTGGGCGCAATGGAGCTGAGTGTGAGCAAAGGGCTGAGCCCCCTGCAGCAGAGTGCCCTCTGCAGAGAGGCAGCCAGGAGCAGGTGGCAAACTGGGGGTCACGGGAGGATGTGGCAGGATCTCGGGAGCTCCTGGCCCTGCCGCAGAACCGGAGCCGGACAGCCAGCGAGCTGCTGGTGAGCAGGTATGGTGTGGGGATGGGGGGTGATGGGGATGGAGATAGGGGATGAAGGCATTGGGGACGGTGGTGATGACAGGGATGGGATGGAGACAATGTGGACAATGGGGGTGATGGGGATGGAGATAGGGGATGAAGGCACTGGGGACGGTGGTGATGACAGGGATGGGATGGAGACGATGTGGACAATGGCGGTGATGGGGATGCAGTGGGACCGGGGTGCAGGCTCAGCTCCCGTGCCCCACAGGAGGCTGTACTTTGCCGAGCTGGAGGAGTCAGAGAAGTTCTACCAGTCCCACAACCGCTTTCTGAAGCTGCTGCTGGCCATCTACCACTGCGTGGCCGCCCACTCCGAGCTGCTCTGCTACTTCATCATCATCCTCAACAACATGGTGACTGCCTCCGTCATCTCCCTCTTCCTGCCCATCCTTGTCTTCCTCTGGGCCATGCTCTCCATCCCCCGGCCCAGCAAGCGCTTCTGGATGACTGCCATCGTCTTCACTGAGGTGGGCAAGAGGTGGCTGCACAGGGGACAAAGATGTGATGACGCCCAGCTCTGGCTGCCACCTCCTGACACCCATATCCCTGCAGGTGATGGTGGTGGTGAAATACCTCTTCCAGTTTGGTTTCTTCCCTTGGAACGGCTATGCCATGCTGGTGCGTAATGAGGGCAAGCCCTTCTTCCCACCCCGCATCCTGGGGCTGGAGAAGACCGACCGCTACATCAAATACGACCTCATCCAGCTCCTGGCACTCTTCTTCCACCGCTCCCTGCTGCTGGTGAGCCCTGCGGGTGCTTCGTGAGTGAGGGCTGGTGGTGGCCTGAGCCCCACTGTATCCCATTGTACCCCCATGACCCTTGTCCTTCCCAGTGCTATGGGCTGTGGGACCACGAGGAGGATCCCTTTGCCAAGAAGAAGGCGGAGGTGGAGCAGGCAGAGGAGGAAGAGGAGCAGCAGGAGGAAGCAGTGTCCCCAGCGGTGCCAGCAGAGTCAGGAGCTCTGGGTGCAGCTGTGGGGTCAGAGTCGGAGGGCAATGCCCAGGGGCAGAAGGAGGGGAGTGGGGATGGAGCAACACATCTCCGCTTCAGGAGGAAGAGGCAGTGGGGCAAGGAGCCAGCAGCAGTGGTGGAGGAAGGTGAGTACCTGGAATTGGGCAAGATGTGGTCTGGCAGGGAGCCTGACGGTCACCCATGCTGCTTATCACTCACAGAGGATGGGGAGGAGGAGGAGGGAGAGGAAGAGGAAGAAGAGGAAGAGGAGGAGACAAAACAGAGCCACTCTCAGAAGAAGCTGAAGGCGTTTGGTCTCCGGGTCAAGCTCTTCTTCCTCACCATGTGAGTGCCTCACGATGTGGGTTAGGGTGGGAACTACAGCTTGCAGCCCACCGGTCACCTGTCACCCATCCCTGTCTCCTCCAGGGCACAGAATGTGTACCAGCCCGTGCGTGGGTTCTTCCATGACATCCTGCACACCCAGTACCGGGCAGCCACCGATGTCTATGCCTTCATGTTCCTGGCTGATGTGGTTGACTTCATCATCATAATCTTTGGTTTCTGGGCCTTTGGGGTGAGCAGAAAGCTCTGCAGGGTGCCAGACGGTGGGATCCCAATGTGAGGTCAGGCGGGGCTGAGTCCTCACCTCTTTGGTGTCCCCAGAAACACTCGGCAGCCGCCGACATCACCTCCTCACTGTCGGATGACCAAGTCCCAGAGGCCTTCCTGGTCATGCTGCTCATCCAGTTCACCACCATGGTGATCGACCGCGCGCTCTACCTCCGTAAGACTGTACTGGGCAAGCTCATCTTCCAGGTCATCCTGGTTTTCAGCATCCATCTCTGGATGTTCTTCATCCTGCCAGCCGTCACTGAAAGGTACCGGTCCCCACTGACCAACCCCTAAGGTCCTTGGGTAGCCTATGGGGGTGATTCCTTTATGTGTCCTTTATGATGGGGGCTCAGGCAGCCAGAGCAGTGACACGTCCCTCCTGCAGGTTGTTCAGCCTCAACACAGTGGCCCAGCTGTGGTACTTTGTCAAGTGCATCTACTTCTCGCTGTCAGCCTACCAGATCCGCTGCGGCTACCCCACCCGCATCCTGGGCAACTTCCTCACCAAGAAATACAACCACCTCAACCTCTTCCTCTTCCAGGGGTACGGGGCAGCGGGTGGCACGGGGACAGGTTGCCCCATTTGGGTGGATGGAGCTGTACCAGCCCCATCTCCCCGTGCCTCCCAGGTTCCGCCTCGTGCCCTTCCTGGTGGAGCTGCGTGCCGTCATGGACTGGGTCTGGACCGACACCACGCTGTCACTGTCCAACTGGATGTGTGTGGAAGACATCTACGCCAACATCTTCATCATCAAGTGCAGCCGTGAGACAGAGAAGGTACGGCCCCATTGAGTCTGCTGCCGTTGGGGTGGCTCCAGATGGGTTCTACCAGGCAGCCCGTGCCGTCTGTCTGCAGAAATACCCACAGCCCAAAGGGCAGAAGAAGAAGAAGATCGTCAAGTACGGCATGGGCGGCCTCATCATCCTCTTCCTGGTGGCCATCATCTGGTTCCCACTGCTCTTCATGTCGCTGGTGCGCTCAGTGGTGGGCGTCGTCAACCACCCCATCGACGTCACCGTCACCCTCAAGCTGGGGGGGTATGAGGTGAGGATGGGGGGCAAGCTCTGCGTTGGGCACCGGGATCACGCACTGACCGCACCGCATCCCCGCAGCCGCTGTTCACCATGAGTGCCCAGCAGCAGTCCATCCAACCCTTCACACCGCAGGACTATGAAGCGCTGACCAAGGAATTCGAGAGGCAGCCGGTAGCCCCAAAGCCCTGCAGAGCCCTTCCTCTGTCCCCAGTGGGCGCCCCGAGGGGCATGTGGCTCAGCACCCCATTCCATCCCCAGGTGGCCATGCAGTTCATCACGCTGTACGGCTATGAAGACATCGTCACGGCGCGCATTGAGGGCAGCTCAGGCTCACTGTGGAGCATCAGCCCCCCCAGCCGCGAGCAGATGCGGCGAGAGCTGCAGAATGGTTCCTCTGACATCACCCTGCGCCTCACCTGGACCTTCCAGAGGTAACAGCGGGGCTACTGGGGAAGGGGGCAGCCCTATCTGTGCCCTCCCAGCAAACCTCTGTGCCTGCAGGGACCTGGGGAAGGGCGGCACGGTGGAGCACACCTTCGACAAGCACACCACTGACCTGCAGCCCGGAGCACTGGAGCGCATGGAGCTGGCCCAGCTGCTGCAAGGCACTCGTGATGCCCCAGTGTGAGTGTCCCTGGGGAGAGGGGGTCAGGGAAAGGGGACGCCCCCGGGGATGGCGCTTCACTCTGCTTTGTTGCAGGCAAGTGCCCAAACTCTTCCCCAAATATATCCGGGCGCCCAACGGCCCCGAAGCCAACCCAGTCAAGCAGCTGCTGCCAGGTGGGTCCCATTGTCTGTTGTACACATGATGGGGGACTTGGCCAGCGTGCCATGCCCTGACCCCCCCCTTGTTCGCCCCACAGATGGAGAGGACAGCTACCTGGATGTTGAGGTGCAGCTGAAACGGGAGCGCTCAGGCTCAGGGCAGGGCAGTGACAGCTTCCTGGAGTGGTGGGTGGTGAGGCTGAAGGATGCTCCAGCACGTGACGGCAACATCCTGCCCATGGTCATCTTCAACGACAAAGTCAGCCCCCCCAGCCTGGGCTTTTTGGCTGGCTATGGGTGCGTAGGGGGGCAAGGGAGGGAGCTGGGGGTGGCGAGGGGGGAACGAAGGTGGTTTCATCCCACCCCCATTGCAGGATCATGGGGCTGTACGTCTCCATCGTGCTGGTGATTGGGAAGTTTGTGCGAGGCTTCTTCAGCGAGATCTCACACTCCATCATGTTTGAGGAGCTGCCCTGCGTGGACCGCATCCTGAAGCTGTGCCAGGACATCTTCCTGGTGCGGGAGACGGGAGAGCTGGAGCTGGAGGAGGAGCTCTACGCCAAGCTCATCTTCCTCTACCGCTCACCCGAGACCATGATCAAGTGGACGAGGGAGAAGGAGTAAGGGGAAGGGACTGCAGTCCCTCGCAAGGGGACACCACCGCCAATGCCTTAAGCAGCCCTGCAGGGTCACATCCTGCTGGGGGGCACGGGACGGTGCTTTTAGAAGGAGGATCTCATCCTCACCTTGCTTTGAAGCCGTCCAACCGGCAGAGACCATGTTGTGCCTTCTCTGGGGGGCTGGCCAGCTGTGGGGGGTGTCAGGAGTTGACGCCGCATCCCCCTGGCTGCTGGGGTTGGGCACGAGCCAGCATCCCCCTGCACCCCCCAGCCCCGCTCCACAACCAGGTTGAACTCTAAAGCAATACCCCCATAGCCCCAAAAAAGGGGGGGTGCACGGTGCTGTGGCCCCCCCACTGGGGTGGCTGGCATCCCCAGCCGGACTGTAGACACTTTTTTTTTTTAATTCAAATGGTTTATTTATACAGATATCTAATAAAATAAAGCTGAGGCCACCCCAGCTTCCCCAGCAGTGGGGCGGGAGCAGGGATGTGATGCCTGTGGGTATCAGCACCCCCTGCATGGGCACTTGGAGGGGGGTCTCCCCTGACCCCCTGCTGGTACTGGATCATTTGAATCTGGTGTAAAAGCAGCTGCCTGCATGCCAGGTATCACCACAGGTGGCCCAGTGACTCCAGATTCCCTCACCCTAATAGGACCCTCCTGCCCCACAGCTGTGCCCTGCACTGTCAGCTCCCGCCAGGTTCCTCTTCCTCATCCTCCAGCAGGAATTCCTGGATCTGCTGCTTCATCAGAGCCCTGTGAAGGACAGACCAGGGGGCCCTGCTGGCTGCACTGCCCTCAGCCCGCAGGGAAGGGACCTCCCCAGCTTGTCCCCTACCTGCAGTTCCTGCGCTGAGCTTCGGTGCGCACGTAGGGTGGCAGCGTGGCTGGGGGGCCCTGCAAGAGAGGGGACAGTGGGGACACTGAGCCCTGTCCCCAATTCCTGGAGAGCCACCTCAAATCCTTACCATTTCCTTGAACGTCAGGCGGCAGCCGTAGCACAGCAGTGGGATGAAGGCAGCTCTGCTCTCAGCCCTGCAGGGAGAAGGGACGGAGCAATGACAATGTCCCTGCTGCTGCCTCTGGTGTCTCCATGTCCCCCATGCTGGAGAGCATCCTACTGCTCACCTGTTCCCTGTCTCCTCCTTCACCAGCGTGGGCTCTAAGGCCAGCTCCTCCTCTGCAAGAACCAAGGGACAGTCACACACTTGGCACACGCTGTCACCTCAGTGAATCCCCCCCCTAGTGCCACTCACCCCCAGCGATGTCCAGGGCGCAGAGGCAGAGCAGGCAACGCTGCACTTCGCTGTTTGCTTCTGCTGGAGCCACGCTCAGCTTCTCACCTGTCCTGCAGATGTAAAGAGGGGATGAGCAGCGGCACCTCACTGCCTGCCCCCAACCACCCTGCCCTCAGGTGCTGTACCGGTACACGGTGCTGATGGTGGAGGGGAAATCCACCTGCAACCCCAGCAGGAAGTTCTCCATCAGGCGGTGGATGCTGGTCTTCTCTCGGCGCTGCAGGGGAAATAGAGAAGGGCAGGATGGAGGGAGGCCCACAGCTCAGTCTGGCTGGAAGTGGGGAAAGGGGGGGCACCCCTACCTTGGTGTGGAGGGGTGGTGTGATGATGGTGGGGACGCCAAAGAAGTGGTTGTAGAATGCAATCTCCTTGGCCGTGTAGTCCCGCATGGGACGCACCACTGTCACGTCACCGTGTCGGCTGTCCACAAAGCCCTGCAGATGAGGAGGAGTCTGCTGAGATACTGCCACCAAGCTGGGGATAATCCTAGGAACAGAGCAGTGCTTGGGTCCTGTCCCCCTCCCAGGCAGGGATGGCACTCACTGTGTCCACAGCGAGGAAGGCGCCGCGTCCCAGTGCCAGATTGGTGAGCAGCTTGATGGCCACACGGGTGCAGCTCTCGCCTGTCATCACCTTGGTGTAACCCTGCGTGCGGGCAGTGTGCAGGAGGAGGTGGCTCCTGGGGACACAGTGACACTGGCTCAGACCCACAGGGCCATGCCATGTGTTCGCTGGGCAGGAGGAGTCCCTCACCGCAGCATCTGCAGCAGCTCCTCCTTTGCCGTCAGCGTCTCTGCTGCATCAAAGAGCCGCAGCAGCTCCTCAGTGCGGGCAGCTGCAGGCAGGCAGGCATGGGAGTCCCCTGTGGGACCATCCTGGGTGCTGAACCCCGTGGGCGAGGTGCCACCATCTCCACTGGCCTCCTCCTGCCGCTGCTGCTGGATGAAACCCTCTACAGCCGCCTTGTAAGAAGGGCTTGGCTCACTGTCCCCACCAGGACCCCGCTGCAGGATTGAGCCAGGCAGCTCCAAGGCCTGTGGACAGATAGGGAGCTGTGTGCAGGCAGACGCATCTCCCCACATCGTGCTCCCCAGCCCCGTCCTGTCCCCACCTGCTCCAGGGAGGCCAGGTAGTAGGGGAAGCCGGTTTCCTGCAGCAAGGCCTCCATGCAGGTCAGAGTTTGCTCCCGTTGCACCAGGCTCTGCCCGCACACCGCTCCCTCTGTGGGCACAGTGGCAGCAGCTGGAGCAGGGGAGCAAACCCCGGGGTATCACAGCCCCACAACAGGAATGGGAAGGAGGGATGGGGACAGGTCACAGGGAGATGCACGAGCAGCAGGGACGGGACGTGCCTTACCGTCGATGTAGATGAGGCCAGGCACGAAGCGCAGCCGCTTGGCCGTCTCACGGCTCAGCCCCTGGCACAGCAATGGGGTAAGCAGGCTAAGCTGTGCCCCACGTCCCCCAACCCCCCTATACTCACCTCCTGCACCTGTCGCAGCATGGCACTGGAGGCCATCCCGCCCGACAGTGCCAGCAGAACCTGCAGGGACAGCAGGGACAGTCAGCGGCCTCAGTGCAGTGCCCCCAGCACCACATCCCCCCCACCCCACGTGTCCCCAGTACCTTTTCTCCTGGGAAGATGACACGGTTCTTGCCCAGCATGGCACGGAACTTGTGCACAAAGTACTCACGGAAACAGGAGCTGCAGACAGACAGGCAGCCCTGAGCCTCTGTTTCCAAGCACTGCTGTGCCCGGGCCTTGGTGTCTCTAACATCCAGTGTCCTCAAGCCCCACGTCTACAAGGTCTTATCTCTAAGTGCTGATGTTCCCAAGCTGTGACATCCCCATTCTTGGACATTACAAAACCCAATGTCCCCAGACCTGACATCTCTAAGCCCTACACCCCTAAGTTCTCTATATCCCAGAGCCCCACGTCTCTGTGTCCTGATGACCAATGTCTCCAATCTGTGCTGTCCCCGTGCCCTCCATCCCAGAGCCCTGATGTTTCTCAACCCCATGACGCCAAACCACATCCCCAAGCTGCGGCATCCCCTGGCCCTGAATCACAATCTCCATGCCTTAATGTCCTCAGGATGTGATGTCCCTATTCCTGGATGTCACCAAACCCATTATCCTCAGACATCTCAGAGCCTCGCGTCCCCAAGCCTGATGCCCCCATAACCCAGAGCCCCGATCTCCCCAGAACCCAAAGTCCCCAAGCGTTGACGTCCCCAAGCCCTGACGTCTCCCAACCCCACACCCCTTAACCACACATCCCCACGCCCCGCCGTCTCCACACCCCAGCATCCCGGTCCCCTCACCGACAAAACGCATCCCCGATTCGGATGACGACGGCGGCGGGGCCATCCCCGCACTTCACGCACGGCCGCGGGTGGCTGCGGGGAACGAAGCCGTCACCGATCCCCTCCCGAAGCGGGGCACGGCCCCGGGGACGGATCTCTCGCGACGTCCCACTCCCACCTGCACACGGGGGCAGCGCGGCGCCGCACCGGCGCTTCCCCGCACCCTCCGCACCGCCCCGACGCTTCACACATGGCACCTCCGCTCCGCTCCCCCTCCCTCCGCCGCCGGCGCGCGGTGATGACGTCACGACGAACGGCAACGTCACGACGCACGGCGACGTCACGCCATCCCTACGCCCGCCGCCGCCATGTTCCGCAGCCTGCTGGTAGCGGCGGCGCAGCGCCCCCAGGCCCCGGGCCCCGGCCCCCCCCGCCCACCGCCCCCCGGCGGCCCCGCGGCCGAGGCGCTGGAGGCGCAGTTCAGCTGCCCCATCTGCCTGGAGGTCTTCCACCGCGCCGTCGGCATCGCGGGCTGCGGCCACACGTGAGCGGGGGCGGCGGCGGTAGGGGGGGCTGAGGGGGTCGGTGTGGGCGGTGGGCCTAGGGCGGGTGGCGGTGCGTGAGGAGGGCGCCCAGAACCGGGACCCACATCCCGCTGCCCGGCCAGAACCGGGCTGTCAGTCCATCCTGCAACACGCCCCATGCCCTGCCTGCCGTCCCACAGCCTTGGTGGCACCGGGACCGCCGTGCCGTGCCGTGCCATCCCGTGCCGTGCCATCCCGTGCCGTGCCATCCC